CTAATATATATGCCAAAACTATAAAGAAAAATAAATTTAAAAAAAAATTCTAAAGGCTTCTTCATAACAAAACAAATAGAAATTGTTCTAAAAAAAGAAACCAAAACTCAAAAGAACAACAAGAATATATATAATATATCAGTAATTTTATTTAATACATGTTGTAATAGTAATTGCTATACTATTTTTAACCAATAATATTATTTATAAATAATCTTAGTTAGAAGTGCTTATTTTTAAAGATTAATAATTATTACAGAGTATGCTTATTTTTAGAGATATTTATTTACAACAATATATAGTAATTCACTTATTAGTTTTAAAAACTTTTTTTTTTATATTTCTTTACTATTTTTTTTTTTATTCTTTAAATTTCTCTTTCTATTATTTGTTTTTTTTAGATATAGTTTTTCTTTTTTTATTTTTAATTTTGTATTATAAATACAGAACTTTATTTTCTTTTACTTTTAATAAAAAAAAAGTTTAAAAAGATTAGTTTTTAATAGGCTAACAAAGTCTTTTAACTTGTTATAAGCTAGTTGTAGCTAGACATATTTATTGTAGCTAAGTAATATTAGGCTTGTAATTAGAGAGTTAAATTTATATAAAACAAAATATTAGATATATTAACTTAGTAATATAATATCAACAAAACTGTCAAAAAATAAAAAAAAATTTCTAGTATAGTTAATTTTTTTTTTTTTTAATATTAGGGTATAGCGCCTGCTTTAGACTTTTATTAATACTTAAGCAATTGACATATAGCAGTGCTGAAATACATACATATTACATATTAGAACTAGGACTAGGACTTTAAGTCTAAAACTATTTATTTATGGCTAAAATCCACTAAAGCCATCAACACTCTCACACATGTGATTGATCTGGATTTTATACATCCCTCCCCAACTGCCAATTAGTATTTACATATCTGCCACTTTATCCATATATCTAATATCTTAACTCCCAAATTGGCATATACTAGGTAGGTACTTATTGCTTCTAGTTTGGTGTACTCGATCCCAACTAGCATACTTCCAGAAGTTCATATTTCAAGCTATGCAGCTGTCTCTACCCAATTGGATAAGTATCTTAAGTCTGCATACTGCTATAACTAGCTGGTTTTCTGCGATTTTGAGACCAAGATCTTAACGTTTCGAATTTAGTGATGTGCGAACAACTATACTTCCCAATATAGTAACAAGACTTGCCCAGGCATGTTTCACAAATGCTTCCAGTACTTGATATAGTTGGATGGGATCATAAAGCCTAGGGGTTTTTAACAGATACATCATTGTTTTTATTTATAGTAATTCTTGGCAGTTGTAGCCCCTAGTTACTACTGCATTCACTAGCTATACCTGTATTGGTAGTCCTGAGATCTCTTAACATTCGAAAACTCTTATACAGGTACAACTAGAGCCTGTTAGGTCTATCAACATGTACACATCTTTATGCTTCAACTTCTTATTAATCAGTGAGTTCTGTATGTGCTAGAGGTGTTTCAAATCTAGTAAGGCCAATTCTTTACCACAGGTCTCTTTGTATTTACCACATTTCTCACTACTTTCCAATTCTGATTACTGTTCAGTTATTTTTTCAAACAAGATCCCCAATGTCATCTTAGAGGTTGTTGGTGCTACCTTGCCAATCGCGGATTTACACGCACAACCTTTGTATAATAGAACATTCTGTAATGACTACCATTACACGTAGTGCTAACTACTTCACAATAGATTTTCTTTTGGAAATTCCTAATCCAGACCTGTATTCACTTGGACTTCCCACAGCAGATACTTCCAAATATTTGTAGATAAACATACCTACTAGGACTTGAACCCAAAACCTGCTTGTGGAGGGTTGGGTGCCTAGACCACTAGGCTACAGGATCCCAACTCGCTAGTATAGTTAATAAAAAATTATATTTATATATAATATATTTAGTAATTTTAATTATTATACAAATACATTTATTATAAAATATACTCATAGTAGTTTTGCATCTATTATATATATATTTTATTATGTTTTTTAAAAATTTTCAACACAAAATTTTCATGTTAATGTTAGCATTTAGAGTTAGAGTTAGGGTTTAGAAAGGGTTTTCATTGATTAATTAGCAAGTTTTTGAAATAATATATACATAGGTGCGTTTTAGTAAAAGTCTTTTAAAATTACAGTAAACTATTGTTTTTTTATTTTAAAACTTAAAATTATACAAATTTTATTTAATATTAAGTATTAATAATAAAATAAAGTATTAATAATAAAATATTACTGTATTAATAATATTTAAAATTTTTTACTATGTTTAACATACAAAAATAAAACAAAATATACAGTATATTAAGAAATTTTCGATTATAAAATTACTTTATTACAGGATTTAAACGAAAATACGAGCGTTAAACAAGTTTTTCCAGTAAAAAAAAAATAAATAAATAATTTACTGTTAAAAGATATGGTAAGGGCTGCAGAGATTAAATCCAAATAACGTACAGTAGTGACGTATGGACGCCAATGTACCCAATTTTATGACGTGACGAGTACGTAAGCTCTCAAATTTTTACATGACAGATAGCTTTTCAAAAAATACTTGCACTCATAGTTATCATAATTATCTATCGGTTCTCCTTTGGATATGCGCTGAAAACCTTTAATAGAAGTTACAGTTCATAACCATATTAGGTTAGCATTTAAAAAAAAAAAGATCAGAGTTTGGAGATCCGCAATGTTGTTACCATTTTTTTTTTTAAAAAAAAAAAGTCGAGAACCCTACAGTTTATTATATAATATATTATATAATTCTATTTATTTTCTGACGATTTCTGGGATAATTACGAAAAAAGAAAAAATATCACATCTAAAAAATTACCGCTCACAATCACAAATTTCAAGATCGGGTGCGAACGTTTGTACGTACAAGATATTTAGATTGATCTAAATAATCAATAAATAACACAGATATACATTTTGTTTATTTTTCTGCCAAATCCTTTCCGAAAGAGGAGTAATTCGCCATTAGCATTGTCTCTTTTTTACTGAGAATTTAGAAAAAATAATATATATTTTGTAGCGTATTGTTGACATTGCTGACAATTATCAACCAATATCAAACAAACTAACCTTAATCTAATTTTTTCCACGTGATGATGCGGGAAATTATTGACGAAATTTTTGCTTAAAAGAACTTGTCTCATCTTGGTCATTCAAAAATTGTCCACATATGTCATTGCTATTATTTTGTTGAAAAAAGGAATAGATTTTTTAATTTTTAAAGTTAATAAATAAATGATAATCTAATTGGTTAAAAAAAAGATATGCGTAATTTTTTTTTTATGTATCATTATAAATTAACTAACCAAAATTCGTAAAAAAAATTTTCATATTACCGTCAAAATTCATCATATTTGTAATTTTAGTTTGATTATAGCATATACTTGTATGATCCATTTCATAAAGTTTTATGATTTTCATTCTTATTAATTTGTAATTTGATTTGAAAATATAGGTTTTCTTTATGAATTTCAAATTCAAATTTTAAAAAAATTAATTGTAAATAATTTCTTTAAATAAATGATAACGATAAGGTGAAAATTATTTCACGTGCATCACCTGGTCAGCTTCCCAAATAATTTTATCGATCAATGTTCGCAAAATGTTTTTCTATGCCAACACAAAAACTAATTGAAAAAACACTTCTCTGCCTTTATTTTCCTTTCCTTCACCATCAATTTTATATTTTAACCAAAGATAATTATCTAGAATACGTTATTTTGATACTCCGCACGGAATTCGGAGCGTCACTATCTATAATTGTCGAAATATTTATGTTAAATATATAGTTTATTTTTAAAATACTCAAAAATTATGTATATATATATTATTCACTATCCTTTCTTAATACTTTCAAGTAAAAATAAAATGTCAAAAGACGATGTCACATAAACCAGATAACTAACTACATACCTTGTTTATGTTGTAATAATGCTGTAAGAATTGCGAATTACAATTGTTTATTTTTTTTTGTAAAAAATTTACCGTATATTATTCCCATAAAATAATATCATGATTAAGACCCGGTATTATACACCGTCCTACCAGTCTATTTCTTGAATAAGACCCGGGGTATAACTATATTTAATTTATAATTTTTCATATGAATACACTCCAAATATAGTACCCGGTACCATACAGTGTGCCCACACGGTTTTTTTGAATAAGATCCCGGATACCATAAGCAGTGCAATACGGTAATATTACCATCATCTCTATTCATTCGATTTTTAAAAATGAAGTAAGAATGGGACGAATCACGTGATAAGTGCGAAAACACACTTTCATAACAAACCTCTTTACAATGAACTCTGGATAAAATGAAGAAAATTTTAAAGTATTATATTAGCACGATATAGAAATGAACTCTCGGAGAATAATTTTATATAATTTTTTTTTTTTTTTTTCGGAAACATCGGTTCTCTGAAGAGCTCAATGAAATACTTGCCAAAAAGCTTGTTAAAGAATTATAGTAAAAAAAAAGCTTGTTAAAGAAAGTTGACTGTAATTTATTCAATTATAGTAAAGTTTGTAAATACTAAAGATCTATCGTACGAGATAGACAATAAAAAAAAAAAAGACATATGAAAAGCACTACCTTATTTTTATTAAGAAATTGAAATGTAAAAAAAAGAGAAAAAAAACAAATATATACATATATGAAAAAAAATAACTACACAATTAATGAAAATCCTTCTACCATTAATAAACCCATTTTAACGAAATATTTAATTGATTGTGCACTCTTATTATTATTTAATAATGCACTTCATATTATTAATTATGCACTTTATATTAAAAAAGAAAAGAAAAAATCTTGAAAAAAAGAAAGCTCCGTAAATTTTATTGAGATAGTATTGATTAATCATAAAACGTTCCATAGGAGCATACAAAGTCATCCATCAGCCATCCATCACCATCCACCTGAAGCGAGACCAATTTTCTCAACAGGTAACGGGAATATTAATTACCTTGGAGGGAAGCCCATTGGTGGAAGGTGGCTCTGCGGTTGACTACTTAATGGTGGTAACGTTGGCTGATAAGTTGATGACGATTGATGATAATGATGATGATGATGTGGATGTTGATACGATGGTACCACATTTGTTATATTAGTATTTGGTCTATATTGATTATAATGTGGTTCAATAACATGTTGCATCATTATAGCTGCGGCTCTTTCACGAGCACGTTCTTCACCTTCACGTTGTTCTCTAATACGTTGTTCTTGTTCACGTTGAGCTTGCTCTCGTTTACGAATCTCACGAGCTATCGTACGGGAATATCTCAATCCACAAGCGTTACACAGACTAATAGTAAGTAAATATGTTATTATTAGATTATGTAAAAAATATACATATATATATAATTATAATATATAATTATGATAATTATAATATTATAATAAAGAAATACATACGTTTTATGACCGGTTGGACCACGTCTCCATTCTGGACTAGAACTCGTATGACAACTTTCACATTTTTTTGTACCGTTAATAGTCGTATTGTTTCTACGTTGTGATGGAGTAAATTGAGTGAAACTTGCAGTTTGATTTGGAACAGGCTGAGGTTGAGAAGAAGGTGGAGGAGGAGGAGGTGGTGGTGGATTTTGACGTTGGTGCATAACGTTATTATTATTATTATTATCTTGTGGTAAAATAGTGGGAGAAGGATAAGAATTTACAATATGTGGATGTTGTTGACTTAGTTGTTGATTATATTGTTGATTATATTGTTGATTATGTTGAGTAAAATATATTTGTTGATGTGATATAGTTGGTAATTTTTGATCATTTTGTGAATGAGACATTGATGGGAATGGATATTGATTTTGATAAACAGGAGGAGAATTATGAGGAGAAGTGAGATTAATTAAAGGACGAGGTATAGGAGAGATATTATTTGGACGAATTCGTTTTGAAGAAACAAATTCCGAAATTTCTTGACGATAAGGATAAGGATGACCCGAATTATAAGAACAAGACTTATTACTACCAGAATCAGAATAATAAGTTGGAGATAAAGAACCAGGGGAAGAATTAGGAGATCTAGGTCTTTTAGAGTTACCATTTATGGTAGGTGGAGAACAAGGAGCAGATAGGGATTTTTGAGGTTTGAAAGGAGGAGAAGAGAAAGAAATAGTTGAAGTTGAAGGTGAAACTTGAAAACAAGCGAAAATGATGATACCATAAGGGATCATAACACTTTCAACTTGTTGAGATTTTCCCGAAGAGATTATTGTATGTTTGTTAGAAATTAATCTCAAACAATTTGGAGAATGAACATCAATCCTATCTTTTCCATTAATAAAGTTATTAGGATTTATAGAAGAATTTTGTAATAATCTAGAAAATTCATCCTTATCATAAGATAGATCAAAACCAGGAACAAAACTTGGATCAGGCCAAGAAAAAATTAAACTCCTTGAATTCCTATCTAATATTTGAAAAATACGATTTGGAGAAGAATTACTACCACCGAAGAAAGATTTATTTTCAGGAAATGGAGTTGCAGGAGGGGTTTGTACTTTTGAAAAGCCAGCTGTTGAATGTTTACGTAAAAGTGAGGACAATTTATTTAAATCCTATTTAATTGAATAATAAATTATAAATTAAAAAATTATAATTAACAAATTATATATATATTAATAGATAGAGACATACATACATCTTTTGTAAATTCTGTTTCACCACAAGAATTTTGCAAGCAATTACTTGGTTTTGCTATAATTTTATTATTAATAATTAATTAATTGTTATTAATTGGTATTAATTATATTATTGATATTATTGATATTATTATTTATAATTATAATAATAAAAAAAAAAATTTACAATTACTTTTTTAGAAAAATGATAATTACCATCATCAGGATGAAAGCAAGCAAGAACGATATCTTGACTAACAACATTCATTCCTAAATGCATTATTATATAATCATTATCATCATCTTGATATGTCGATAATTTTGAAGGAGGGAATCCTTTATTTGAAGAAGTAGTAGTTTGAGATTGTAATCTCTTTCTTATTGCTGGAACATTATTATATCGACATCTAATATGAAAGAGGTCACGTGTCAATTATACTGTAAATGACGAATATATATGAAATTTTATAAAAATTTTTTTTGAATAGGAGATAAATTTTTGTATTAAAGTATCAAAGGTAAGTCAAAGAAAGGGGAAAACGCGCGTTTAAAATTAACAGAACGCGTAATTAAAAAAGGGAGAGAAGATAATAGTAATCATAGTATAGTAATAATAATAGTAAATGATAGCAATAATAATAGTAATAGGCGTAATAATAGTGATAATAATAAAATAGAATAATAATAAAATAGAATAGTAATAAATTAAATACCTTGTTATCGAACAGGTTATTGTTTTCATTTTGACAAACTCTGATAAGTCGCGACGCGCCAACTCACGATCTTGAGGATGAAAATAGTCAAAAACCGAGGCACCCAATAATAAGTCATGATCAGGACCAAGAGCTTTGGATAACCAAGGAGAAACATAAACGAAACTTAGGTCTTTTAATGATAAGAGAGACCAAAAGCAATTAATCATTGAAGACATGTGTGAAAACGAAAAAGAAAATTTTTCGTAAATAAAAAAAAGAAAAAGAAGAAATATATCAAAAGTGAAAAATTAAAAAGGTTGAAGATATATGAATTCGTAGGGTATCACAAATCGAGAAATATAGATAAATGGGTGGTGGGTGATTGATGTTTTAGTAAATTCGATTCGTTTTTTTAACTTATGATCGTGTAAGTAAATGTAAGTAAACGTGAAACAAAGATTTAAAATTTTATATAAAAAGTAAATTATTTAAATTTCAAGTATATAAATAATAAATATATAATAAAAAGAAAAAAATTAACTCGAATTAAATTCGGTTCGATTTGGTATATCGTTCCAGGATTATCCCGTTTAAAAAAAAAGGAAGTTGATACAATGCCGTCCGGCGGAGAAGTTGCATAAACTTTCAAAAAAAATAAAAAAAATAGTTCACATAAATAAATGTAATATGTACGTATTATATCAGAATATACAGTAAATAATAATCTTTGCAAATAATCTTTTTTGCAAATTAATTTTTTGTGTGTATGTATGTATGTATGTATGGATGGATGTATGGATGGGATGTAATGTTGTAATGTATGATGTAAAATAAAGAGAAACGCGAAAAATCCAAGACAAACGTAAAAGATGGAAGTCAAGAATTATAATTGTGAAGAGAAGATGCCAAGATGATGTGAATAAATCAAATATATTTTCTCTGTTTACTTTGATATTAAAGAGTATTAAAAGGTACTTTATATAAAAAAAAAGCTATACAAATAAAGAGAAAAGAAAGGACGACAATCTTTTATTAAATCTTTTATCTATCTTCTTTCTATTATTATATAAAAAAAAATGACCGTTTTTTTTTTTTTTGGTTTGAAAAGAAAAAAAAAAAAATCGAAAAAGTGGAGAAATTCAAGTAATATATAAATTTTTTTTTTTTAAGGCGAGTAAAAAGAATCTGATTTATGTTTTTATCTATTACAGTATCTACCATTATATATATTATATATATATTACCGGTATATATATATATACTATAAGTCTATTTATATATATAGTATATATATATAGAATAAAAAAAAAAATATACGATTTAAATGTTACAGAGTTGTTGGACTTCCAATCGGGGACTTGTAACTGTAAACAGATCACACTTTATTGTCACCTAGTTGTGATAATTGTTTGTAATAATTGAGTGATAAAGTAAATAAAATCCTTGATATCTTATACTATTATAAATATTATAAACATATTATAAACATATTATAAACATGGATATATACATACATACATACATACATACATACATACGTATGTACATACGTACATACGTACATATATACATGTAAGTACTGTACGTGATCGAATGAAAAAAAAACTCGTAAAATATATCATTGATGAAAATGTTGCACATAGTATTAAAGCACAGCCTACTGCCTCATTTGAAATTTTTGAAATGTTAATAGTCAAATGAAAAGTTGAAAAAGTCGATTGAAAAAGATGATCTTATCACAACACTGATGTTACGATCATTCGTTAATACTTAATTGAACCCCCCCTTATAATTATAATTTTCCCGTGTCGGATTGATGGAAAAAAGTGAATCAAGAGAACGGAAAGACAAGAAATCGGATAATAAAAAAAGAAATGATGACATTTCATATAAATTAATACAGTATATAATTTAATAAATCCAATTTATATATATGCATGCATACTCGGAATTCGGAATATAGATAACGATCTTAGAATAATACTTTGAGATAAGAATGTTTTGAATAATAATATTATTATAATACTTGCTCTAAATGATACTTTAAATAAATGATATTTCTAAATGATATTTCTTATTATTACTTTGATTACTTTGATTACTTTGATTACTTTTGGTTACTTTGATTACTTTGATTACTTTGGTTTCTTTTATTACTTACTTGAAGAACATTTAATTTTTTTATCCCACAAGGATTATTGCAAAAAATAAGTGTAAATGTATATATGTAAATAAATGTATTCATAAAATTTTATTCGTTATATTCGTAAACGCATTCGTAAATTTATTCGCAAATATTTAAACGTATAAATATAATAAAGGTGTAATAAAGTAACGATAATAATAAATAAAAAGGTGTAAAAATACTGTATAAGCGAGTATAACATATACAAGAAACATACATATACAACATATATATTACATATTTACAACATATATAATCTATATATAAAATATATATAAATATATACAAAATATATATATATATATCGTATATAATTTATATCGATATATAATAACAAAGATAAGTACGTATTATTACACATATTATCTGTTATGCTTATTATGCTCATTATGCGTAGTTTATACAACATTATCTTTTATTATCTTTGTTGGATTGACTATATTTATTAAACCTATATGTTCGTTAAAATTCAATCCGTTTTAATAATAGCTATAGAAGCCTCTAGTTTACTTATATGATGAACAGTTAATGTTTTGTTAAAAATCTTGTGAATTTGTTTAATCCTCCTTGTTTATGTTTTCACGATGTTTATTTATCATGAAACCGGAAACCGATTATGCACAACGCTTTGTTCTTATTTGTGAAAAGGAATAACGTGATTCTTAGTTTAACTTTTGTGCATAGTGTACATGATCATATCATTGAACGAAAAAGGAATGGTAAATAGGGATTACACAATTTCACAAACTCATATAACCGTTGTAATATTAAGTAAGTAAGTAAGTACGTATGTAATAACGTATACGTATCTACGTGAGTATAGAGTATGTGTGAATATTGTGAATATTGTAAATATTGTGAATAATATTGTGAATACTTGGCAATATGGCAGTGTTGAGTATGTGAGTACCTACGTATTGTACGTACGTACGTACATACGTATCTGGTATGTACTCCGCTTACTTTATAATTAAAATACTGTATTAATTATACCGTATATTTGATACCATGCATATTTGCACATTGAAATGCATATTGCAACGCATATATGTTGCGACGCATACATATTGCAGGGTAATGAACAAAAAGTAATTGCATAAATAATTCGCATAAATAAATCAAAATCGGGAAATTTATTAAATATCTCAAAAGAACATAATTAATTTGAAATATCAATTATAAGTAATTCTAAACTAGGTTTATTTTATTAAATTTATCTATTCCTGGCTCTTCGATTCATTTTTTATTTCATAACGTGGGATATTTTAATACCACGCGCGAATTATGTACATCGTTTATTCTGATTATATTCGGTATTGTCACTCACGCGGGAATAAAAGAAAAAGTTTTTCCTCAATGAAAAAAACTAATCATTTTTTTTGTATTCATTACGTACAATATACGGAACTTTTCTTCCGTTATTTATCATAGTGATTGTATTTTGTTACATTTTTAATTACAATAAAGATAACATTTCTTTTTAATTTTTCTCTAAATGTATTTATCTTGTTCTCATTTTTAATTTTTTTTATTAGCCTTTTCTCCTTTTCTGTATATTCCGTTATTTTAAATTTTTAATAATTTTTTTTTTCCCACCGATTTTCCAATAAAATTTATACCTTTTTTTTTATATTTAGAAATAAAATAATGTCAAAATTTTTGTTGATCAAAGCAGGGTTTATCATTGAAATTCATTAGTTTCATAAATGCCACATATTCACATGCATCATTTCTTATTAATTACCTTTATTGCTGTTCATTCTGAAACTCTACTTTATATCAAAAGTATTTTAAAAACCCTACGTATAAAAATTTACTTATAATTCTACTTATAGAAATATTTAATTCACTTAATAGCTGTCAAAGAAATTAATTTTCATTCATCGACCTTTCTTTAATGCTAAATTAGAAATAATATTAAAAATATCACGATATTAATCATTGAAGTAAACATTTAGAAAATAGTATAATATTTATTACTGTTTACTGTTATTAAAAATAAAAATATTAAATTCATTTTTTTTTATTCATTTGATTTATAACGAACGAAATGTTAAAAGTGTCATTGTTTTTAATTTCAAGGAGTCATCGTCAGGTCACTAAAAGTTTTAAAATATTTTAATATATAAAAAAAAATTAATATGTATTTCAAGGAATAAGCATTTACGTATAATATTATTTCAACAATTAAAAAAAAAAAAAAGTATCTTACTGTCAGCGTTAGATTAATTGCATGACTTTTGTTTAGCCAATCACCCTTAATGTTACACGGTCGTTCAAAAAGATGCATAATGTACGCACGTTCATTGTATTCAAGTGGCGTGATTTTACTTTTGTTTTGTCATTTGGAACGTTTCTACATAAATAAATAAATACATACACGTATCTTCTTTGGTGCGTAAGTTGGGATTGTTTAAATGCTTCTGTTGAATTATGGCATTTTTAAGACATGAAGAAACAAAAACAGTTTATAATTATATACAATATATACTGTATATATATAGTTATAATTATAATCTGTTATTGTTTATAATCATATAGTTTGGGATTGGTGATCATTAGTTATAATTAGTTATATAATTATATATATAATTAGTTATACATTATAATAATAGTTATATATAGTTATATATATTATAATTATATAGTTATTAAATTATAATTAGTTAAAATTCATTATCATTATAATTAATTACGTAGTTACATAATTATGATACCGTTACGTAATTACAGATTATTGATAATTATTTATGATAATTCATGTAATTACGATTATTATGATAATTATGATGTCGATATATAAACGATATTTACATAATTATAATAATTATGATATTATGATAATTAATTGTGATAATTACAAATTTACTTCAAAGAAATAGCGTTATGTTGTTATATATATACTATATTTAACTATATTACTATATTACTATATTACTACTATATTACTACTGCATTACTCTATTACTTTTGTCAATTATTTCATCATTATAGAAATTTCCTGATCTCTAAATCCTTAAAAACTACTCCGATATATTGAATTAGTTTTAAGGATTCAGAAAATCATGACGCTTTCAATAATGTTGAAATAATTATAAAATCGATTAAGTCAAATCACTCAATTAGATCACTCAATTACAATAAAAATCCTTTAAAAATAGAATTAATTTCTGATGTACATTCTGTCTAAAAATACGAGCTTTTTTGAAGTGATCTGATTATAAAGTTATAAAGGTTATAAAGTTATAAAGTTATTATAAAGCCTTAATTAGAAATTATGATCTCGATCTTTTTCGTGTTTCACCACATTTGGTCGTTTGACTACTTTTAGTTATTATAGTGTGCCTATTTTTAGGTTTTTTTATTTTTACTGTATTGAAAGAACGTGATTGTTTAACAATGTAATACTATGCGCGAATTCTACTTCGTCCTTATTGTGATTGAATTAGGCTCAATTTTAATTCCTCCTCAAGATTTATTATATATTTTTTTTCTCGACAAAGAATTTTAATAAAAATAATAAATTAACGTGCGAAACTTGTAGATCTATATCGGTAAAAGATGAATGTTTATGTGTCACATTATAAAGTTTATTAAAATTAAAAGTTGATTTTTTTTAATATTCAAACAACAACAAAAACAACAAGCAGGATATATGTCAAATGACGTGTTTGGCACCTCACTCATACCGTTAATGTTATCATCATTAACGCCAAAGGTTTTTTAGGGTTTTAACACACATACTTTAAGGTTTTTCTAACCGCAAAAAGACACAATTCCCAAAACTTATACCCAATCAGTCATGCTATTAGATAATTGTTATTTCTTAATATAATAAATAAAGTTTGTTTTTCGATACTCCACATAATATTTTAGAACTCGTTTTTTTTTTACTTTTTTTTTTTTTTTATAGAAATTTCCGAATATAATTTGTACGGATATTACGAATTATGAATTCTTATGAATTTTTTTTTTTATTTCTTGCTTTTAACCTGCATTTACCAGTTTTTTTTCAATTTATGCACTTTTTTCAGATGTCACATTTTAGGTCACACATATATAATATATATATAATATATGTATATAATATATATATAATATATATATATGTCTTTATTTAATTTATATCTATTATCTATTATATATCTATTATATATCTATTAATATATATATATCTATTATATATCTATTAATATATATATTATACATTAAAAAACCTATTATCTGTTATATTAAAATCTAATATCACATTTATATAATCTACATATCACGATCATTTAGAAATCGCGAGGTGAAATTTCTCAAGAACGGCATTAGTAATTAATGCAAGTAGTAAAAACGTTTATAACGGATCTTAACCCTAATCTAAAGTCTAATCTCAACTTTAAAGTTCTAATAATAATGAAATTCACCTTCGGTGATTTCGATATTAATTCTTAAAATAAATGACTTTTGATTTTTTTAATTAATAATGAATTAAAGTTCTAATAATAATGAAATTCACCTTCGGTGATTTCGATATTAATTCTTAAAATAAATGACTTTTGATTTTTTTAATTAATAATGAATGAAATACATACTCTGTTGTTAGTATAAGGGGTATTCGTCCTTATAATAAAGTTTCTTTAATATGAACCCCTCGTTTCCAATGTGACCTCTTATACTACAGTACTAGAAAGAAAGAAAAAAACCGGATAAACATAACATACTTTTTTTTTTTTTTTTTAAGGAGAATAAATCTTATATAACTTGATTGTATCTTGTTATCTTCACAATTATGTATAGTTTATATAATTATTATATACCCCCCAATAATCTACGTATATCTATTCAGATTATGTATGGCATTCATGAGGTTAACAAAAGGATAATTTATAATACGAATATATTATGAATGAATGATAAGTGAGCGTCAACGTGACATTTTAATAAATTTGGATTAGTTGATTTTTTAAATAATAATAATAATAATAATGATAATAAGAAAATAATAATAAAGATTATAAATAATAAAAATAATAATAAAGATTATAAAGAATAATAATAATTACTAAATAACTTAAATTTAGGATAGAATAATTAAATATGCTTTCTCATGACCAGGAAAATTTTTTTTAAGGTTGATTCCTGTCAAAGATTTAATTTCAGCATTTGATCTTACATTACATTAAGCTTAAAATTATAACGTAAATTATTATTGGTCATTATTAATAATCATGATAATCATCACAATCATTGGAAATCCACATGTTCACTTTTACACTTTTACACTTTTACACGTTTATACGTATCAAAAAACTTTTAAATTGATGCCAAGAAAAAAAATCTAGAATTTCTTAATTTCGGAAATTCTGCTTAAAAACAGAAAATTTCAAATTCTTAAAAATTGTTTTTTAAAATGAAAATTTTGGGAAACTAATAAATTCTAAGTGGCTGCTTCATATCGTTATCTTTATCGGACCTGTTGACATAAACGGTGTTATATTATTATTGATAATGATTGGTTTGAACATCATTTTGGTAATTTCCGATGATACTTTATAAAATACTTTAAAAGGAAATTGTAATGTTTTTTTTTGAAAATTCGTGTAACGTTATAAAAAAGTGACATAAATTTTAATCATTATTTTATTTCCATTAATGATTACAAGGATTATCGTTATCCGATATTCGATTGTAATTGATTGTAATTAATTGTAAATATGATATCAAATCAAAAAATAGTAATGTTTTATATAATTTATTTGTAATCGTCATCGGAAAAATATATATTTTTTTCATACAACAAAAATAAAAACTTTTTCATATGTAACAAAAAACAAATTTTTTAAAAAAATCTCTAGTTCTTGACTTCTATAATCATAAATTTCATAATAATCAAAAACCTACTTTTTTAAGTATCGTAAATCACATTTACATATTTACATGTTTGTATATGGGCATACAGAACATTTAAAAGAACGAATGAAATTGAAATCCCTGTTTACAGGATTAACGCATGGTTACCTAAATGATTACAATGGTTACTCAAAAAAGATTATAAAAAAAAAACCCCACGAGATGTCCAAAAGATCATGTACCGATTGATCAAAAAAAAAAAAAATCGATTACCAAATAATATCAGGATTGGTTTCTAAAAATACTATATTAAGAATTTGTTTTGTAAATCATTTACTTTTATGGAATTTTATATGGTCCTAAATTCATAACCAGTCGATCATCGATTACAGGCATGAGATTAAGCAAAGCCATACACGTGACGATCTCTTGTAAGATTTACCCGTTTTTTACTAATACAGCAGTTAATATAGTACGTAGCAAAATAGTAAACAAGCAAAAAATTAACAACGTAACGTTAATAACATTAATGAAAAAGTTAAATGAAATTCGGTTAAATCTCGGATAAAAAAATGGTTTGTATACCTGTAAAAAAAAACACTATTGTTATGTAACATCACTCACTGAATTTATACAATAACGATAAATTAATATAATTCAATAGGTCCCAAGAAATCTACGATATAATGATCATACTAGTTATTAGTAATACAGTGTATTTCAGTATTTCAGTATTTGAAATACGTACAGAATTTTTGAAGTACAAAATTTTTTGAAGTACTGTACTGTATAATATTTTTTGAAGTACAGTATGTTACAGTAATTATATCACTAATTGTGTGTTTATAGATTTACGGCTAAATAAAGTAAAAAGCTGACTAGTTAATTTTTGGTCGACTAAATGACTATTGACTGCAAACACTAACAATAATAAAGACACAACGCAACAATAACTAAATAATAATAATAATAATAATATATAACTAACTAATAAAGTATATAGTAACTATATATTGAACTATAATGATAATAACTATATAATCTACAATAATAATCCATAATAATCTATAATAATCTATAATAATCTAGAACGTATTTTAATAAAATATATTTGTTTACACAGGAAATCTAGAAAACTTTGATGACACATTACATGCAATCAATCGACAATTTTGATATAATCCGAATTTTAAATTTGATGAACCAATAAAAATAATATAAAAATAATATGAAAATAATATAAAATAAGATTAAATAAAATGTTACGTACAGAAAGTAATAATAAATAAAAATAAATAAATAACAGATAAATGAAACATTAATTTCAAAATTTATTTTTATTAAAAACTACGAAATTCATCATCTAGTCATCATCTAGTCATCATCTATGATCATCAAAAGAATGAATTTTTTTCCTGTTTAATACCATCATTCAAAAAAAATTTTGATTTTTTTTTTGGAATAATTTTTTAAGATGGATTATAAAGGTTTTCTTTCTGGTTTTTTTTTTACCAACACTACTATAATTCGGCTACTATAATTCGGCTACTATAATTCGGCTACTATAATTCGGCTACTATAATTCGGCTACTATAATTCGGCTACTATAATTCGGCCGATAGTACAATAGATCAACTGCATGAAAAAAGTAAATATTTGTAAGGATTTCATCAATCTATATAAATGAAATCCATTTATAATCATCGAATGTGATCAATTGATTGTTTTATGAATGGATTGCCCGATATGGAGAATTTAAATAAAATATGTTGTGATCATGTTTACGATTATGCACTTTGGCATACATATATATATATTTTATTGCAAGGTGACGGTTAAGGAACGCTATCAAAGGTGGATTAGTCAGTTTTATTGTGTTATTGAAACCTGATCGAACAAACAACGCACGCATCCTGCAACTCCTCCTGCTCTGATCTTTTCTATATCGGTTTTCATATGCGCATATATTATATAGAATCAATGATAATGTATGTGATATTAATTTGTGATTATTTCTTAAAAAATGCTTTGTTACCTCATAGTACACTCATTCAAAACAAAAACGCATGGAACAGTTGTTCGTGTTATAATCATTGAATTGATTTCTTCTAATTTTATCGAATTCAATCGTATGTAGATGAATCCATCTTCGACACTCAATTACTGAATTAAATATACCTATACATTTACAATATTATACAACATTATACACAATGATTATACAACTATTATACAATTATTATACAACCCATAATTATCATCTCTATCCCCATCTTTCTCTCTCGGCTAAAAAAAAAAAAAAAAAAAAAGTCTTTGTTTGTCTCCATTCCTTGTGAGAGAATTCGGAAATCGGTACATATAACTTGTTTGAAAAAAAAAAAAAAAAAATGCAAACATTGAAAAAAAAAAAGATTCACGGAACAAAGACTCCACTATTTCCCAAATATCGTTAAAAATACTACATACGACTTGGCTGATTATGCGATAACCCACAAAATCCGTGATCTGATTTTATTAATTATTCTATCAATTTATCAATTTCCAGTTATTGTTCTTGCATTGCATTCTTTTTTCGGTTTTTTTTTTTTTCTTCTTGACCTAAACTTTTTATGATATATTCTTATAATTCTGTATATTATTATTACTGCATTATAAAGTATAAATTAACTGTATAATTGTTATTATTATAACTATAACTATATATATATAATTATAAATTATAATTCCTATTTATTATTATAAACTATATATTATAAATTATTATAAATTATTATAAATTATTATAATTCTTATATTTATTCTAAACTAAATATATTATAAATTAAACTATAAATTATATAAATTATAATTATTATGATCATTAGAATGTTCAACCCAATTGGAACAATGAAAAATATACACGGATGTAGAAAAAAAAATTCTTTAATTCATTCTTTTTTGGATAATTGCTATCCCGTGTACAATTGTTCATCGAAGCCACGAGTTAATAGAGTTAGCACCCTTTTTTCTTCAACGAAAAAGAAAATAGATTATTCAACTTCTAATTATGCATGAGAAGTTATCCGGTTTGGTTCACTAGATCCGGGAAACAAGTATTTTCTGTGTTACATTTCTCACACCATGATTTAGAAATACCTTATTTGATCCTTCAAATTCTAATTTTCATGATACTTGCAGATATTAACGTCTAGTAAACTGTTGCCCCATAAACATTCCTTGAATACCAAATGTGCAATAACCTACAGTCTAACTTTGAATAAACAATCCAACTAGATTTACTCATTCAACGATGCGCGAGAACATTTGTACATATCGTACTTTTTTTGTGATGCAAACCTTGGGGCTCTTTCAAACAATAAATTTATCTGGTTTCAATCAACTCACGATTTAAGATTTCAAAAAAATTTGCTTCTTATTATCTTATTATCAATAAAGATATTTTTTCAAATGTGGCTTTTTTTATTTTTAGGGATTATGGCTTTTCTTATTTGTTTGTTTAATTATTATTATTTACATCTCTCGGAATAAAATAATCTTTTCCGTTTTTAAATCTGTTCATTTTTTTATCACATAATCACATGTTATCATGTTATCACTATTATCACTTGGAATGTCACGTGTTAAATTTTAATTTTCTCACAATGGGTTATCGATTTTAGAAAGTTTTTCGAGAAAAAAATTTTTTTTTTTTTTTGGTAAAATGGTAAAATAGCCTACGCTTATCGTTATGCAACTTATGCTTAAAATGGTTTCACAGATCATGAAACATGATGACACTTTTGTGATACATCCATATATATATATTTATACATATATACATATAGTCTTTTTTTAATTTACTTTTTTTGAAGTACAAATGTTATAAAAAAAAAATTAATTAAGTCACCAATCGTACACAGCCACATTTTTATGGTTCTTTATCTTACTGTCTTATGAGGAGGTGAAAAGCGTAAGTACTTACGTCATATTTTAAGGGCGTAAAATCTTTCTCAAATAATCTTTTTTCCTACTGATACTGATGCAAATATTATTTATCAACGCCACCACCTAAACGTACTGTACTTACTTACGTATGTTCATAACGTATCATAACGTATCATAACATATCATAACGTTTTATAATGTATCATATACTACATATAACATACATATACATGACATACATAACATACATGACATACATAACACACATAACATAAAGGGAATTTAGAATAACATTATGCCACGAATACATGTTATTCATGTTATTCATGTTATTTTATTATCTTTTTGCACCGCCACAAATTATGCATAAATAAAAACACCTAAACTAGTTAAAAGTCAAGAAATCAATTTACTATCTAATTTACTCTTTAAATTCAATCAAAAAACCTGTTTATTATTTTTTTCAAATTTTATTGAGGTTTGACGTTATACATTTTTTTTTTTTCCCCTGCTTATTTAATAAACTAATTTTTTTTAATAATCAAAAAAAAATAAAAAAAATAAAAAAATTGTTAATCGTTTTATTTGCGGCTCAGTTCTATTTATATCAATAATTATTAATGTGTAACGTAGTATTGCTTTTCTTACTACTTTACTAACAGTTATATAACTCAATTTGGGACGCGACCATAAACGCGATAAAAGCCACCTTGCTACCTTGATGAAAAATACGTAAAGAAATGATTAGGATCGATAAAGTAAATCGAAATGCGGACGATCAATCCTTGGGAAAAAAATCGAATATATCACTTTTTTATATGTGTAAATATATATATATATATGTATATATATGGATGTATAAATATATATGCTATTTTTATAAAACAAAAAATTATTAATGCATTTAAAATAAAAAATTTCTAAAAGTTGAATCATGTTTATATAGTACACGGAGCTCTTTTTGTCAGACAATTTAACCAGTCGGGTTAACTTCGGGCCTATTATTTTAGAAAATGAAAGGATTTCTTTATTTTACATTGTACAAGTATACAATATAACTTGATAAAAAAGAAACCAATAGTTGCTTTCCCCATGAAAAATTATCATAAAAAATTATCATAAAAAATTATCATACGACATGTATGAACATCTTTATTTGTTTGTTATTGTTATGAAAAAGAAAGAAAGCCATGATTACAATAGCAAAAAGACAGGGTTGGTTTCTCGTTTCGTGTGCTTGTTATGTGTGATAAAGAGATCATTTTTGATAAATTTTTTCTGATAAAGACGTGATTTCTTTTTGTATTTGTGCTTGTGTATCCATGCACCTCAAAAATTTGCTTACTAAATATATACATATGCTTCCTTTTTGAAACTTCAATTTTCCTGTTTTTAAAAACAAATTATAAACTCCCTTTTAATTTTTTTTGTGATCGCATGCGAATCGCACATACTGCTTTATACTTTGAATTTAATTTCATAAATAGTGATATTTGAATTTTATTAAATATTATCCTTTTTTTTTATTATAACTATTACTGTATTATTATAATTTATTATTATTATTTTATTCTTATTATCGTTATTATATTTGGTATATGTATTTCGTGTCACTAATGATCAAAAGATATTAAGTTATACGCCATTTGATAATTAAAAAAGTTGTCTGATTTCCTTAACTGAAATTGGAAGTTCCTGTATGTATAGCCTAGTTTGTGTTCATTGTCACGTGAGGAGGGATAAAGATCAATATGCGCATATATTCATACAACATCATACAATATACAATATACATGAGAAAACTTAATAAACGTTACTTTAGGGAATAATAAAATGCAAAGCCATTTTGCATTTTAGATTTTTGAATTTCTGAATTTTTGATTATTAATATTTAAGATGGATTTAAGATGGCTTTGATTAAAATTTTTAATTATTTGGTTTGTTTTTTTTTTTGAATGGTCTGATGATGTCCTTGATGATATCCTTTATGATGCGAAATCAGAATAACAGACATAACAGACATAACAGACATAACAGACATAACAGACATAACAGACATAACATATATAACAGATATTACAGATACAACATACAAGATACAGTAAATAAATATTTACTTAAATGTGAAATTCTTTGAAAAAAAGAAAAGCCTCTTACTTGAAATGCTGTATCTGAAAATCTGAAAAGTTTGAAAATTGTAAAAAGTACGTAAATTTTTATATATTTTTTTAAACTATTAGGATCTATTATTTTTTTTTAAATTATTAGGATCTGTTTTTTTAAAAAAAACTATTAGGATCTATTTTCTTTATTTGGAGGCGATGATATGTTTTTTTGTTTTTGTTTTGGGCTTATGATTTATGATATACACTTTGCAAAATTACAAGTTTTTCTTGAAAAAAAACATTTTTTTGATAGTATTTAATAGTATTTAATAGTATATGTTTAATAGTAACTTTATTATTTATTATTATTGAACCCAAAATAGGGTTAATTACAGAATTACGCGATGATAGATGATTGTGATGATGGCGCGACATCAAATATTATCAATATTATCAATATTATCAATATTGGCCTTATCGTTATCGAAAGTTGATCCTGTCAATCGAGTAACTGATCCATCCGTTCAAACTTAAATAAACAAAATAAAAGCCACAAAAATCATCATAAACTTTTGTATGTTCGATTATAAGGCTACTATGTATGTTTTTTTTTATAAAGTACTTTCCAATTTTTTGGGCTTACGTATTTTTGTGATTTTTGTGATTTTTTTGTGATTTTTTCGTTTGATACGCGCATGGGCAAATTTATTTGTTTTCGTTAAAAATTATTTGTTGTTGTCGTCTTAAAACAACCCTTTTTTCTTGATTTTTTTTTTTTTTTTTTGATAACGATACGATACGATTACTTGCATTCTATTCACCAATTGAAATTGTTGATTCTAAGAAATGAGGCTTCGATTAACTTTACACAGTATGTAGGGTAAAATATTAATCATATGCTAATTAATGTGATGCGATTTTATCATT